TGAGTGTAGAACAAGAAGCAATGGGTGGAAACTAATCAAGGAGCGAAGCAATTTAGAACTGAGGAGAAATTTCCTGTCAGTTAGAACAATTAATCAGTGGAACAGCATGCCTCCAGAAGTTGTGAATCCTCCAACACTGGAAGTTCTTAAGAAGATGTTGCATTTGTCTGAAATGGTATAGGGTTTCCTGCCTAGGTAGGGGGTTGGACTAGAAGACCTCCAAGGTCCCTTCCAACTCTGCTATTGTATTGTATTATCCTTCCTAACATTATTCAATCATAAATGTAATGTAATCCTTTACAGATCATTAATGGTTTTTATCTGCCTTGTGGCAGTCTAATCATTTAAAACAAATATATAAAAAAGAAAATGGAAAATCACTGTAAGCAATTTCATGACTAAATGCCAGCTTCCAAAATAGGAACACTTTTTTTAAAAAAAATGGATGAATGAAGATATCACCAACTTACCTTTTTGATAAGTCATCAGTGAGCAAGGACAATGATCTCTATGGATCTGGAAATTTTACTGTTCAGGATTTTGAATCTTTAGAGTGGGAAAAGAAAACTAGTTGGTTTTTTGCTGGTTTCATGAACTCCTAGTCTTAGTGTTCAAGGACTTGTGAAGCCAAAACACCACCAGAAAGTAGACATGTAGAGTTCCTGCTTTTAAAAAGTTAATATCACTTGAAGCATTACAGGTCTCTTTTGTGTGTATGGACAGTTACTCAAGTTATGACATTGTCTGTGTTTTATTAATTTGGGATTCTTTATTTCTTTTAGAGATGTCCTCATGTTCCTCTGAGGCTCAACTTGGCAACTTACAAGGTCATATTATATATGCTTTGGTCCAAAAAAAAACTATTATTTGTTAGACAACTCATGCCCTGTTCGGTCATCATTTCAGAGTTATTCCCTCACCTAAATAGTGAAACAGAATGACTGAGGGTGGGCAAAATAGCAAAAGGAGCAAGAGGTCAGGCTATCTTCTGGCTTTCCCATTTAGTTTCATTGTGGAAATCTTACAGGGAGCATCTGAAATCTTATTTCCTCCTGTTTCTTCCTTTCTCCCTTCCCTCTCCTTTCAGCAGGCAAGAAAATAGCTACCACTAAGAGGAGAAGGGAGCCAAGTATTGGGAGACTGGCAGGGAAAATGTTATAGAAGATTGAAATGAAGATCATCTGACTGCAGCAACACATAGCAGCCAACTTTCCCAGGAATGATGGGTCTTGGATCTGACACAAATTCTGTAAGCTACCCCAATTGAGGTACCTTGGCTCAAAATGTTTGCCCTATGATGCACTGATTTGTCCAGTTAAATGTCATGACAAAGAAATTTTAGTTTCATTGTATATACATACATACATACATACATACATACATACATACATACATACATACATACATATTCTGGCCCCCACTTAGCCTGTTCCAAAATTACAGTCACACGAAGCTTGCAAAAGAAAGCCTTTATCAGTCCCAGCTCACGCTGGCTGTGAGCCCAAAATAAACATAAATA